ATGCAATTCCAGAGTGACGAGAATGTCAAGAACGGCGGTTTGTCCCGTTATCGCTCACGTTGGAGACAGACCCCCACAAACCACAGCAGGGACCTGCTCCCCAGACGCTCCCGCGGGAGCCCATCTTTAAAGGCACAACAAGCCTTGGGGGTTCCTTGTCTGTGGACACGCTCAACTCTGATCATCCGCTGCTGACGGGGCTTAAGCCAGAGGATCGCTGCAGCCCCAGGGCCTGTGCACGATTCCCTGTGCCAGGGGCCACGGGGAGAATTTGCAGGAGAAATAAAACGGATCAGGATGAGCAAAGGCCCCCAAATGCAAATGCAGAAGAACGTGACCTGTGAACAGGCTGTTGGTGAGAAAAAGCTTGGTTCAGTCGCTGCCAGAAACGTAAACGTGATCTGAGGCCACACAATGAGGGTGTTGTGCTTAGAGTAAGGGCAGGGAAAGGGCCTATGTACTTGGAACCACAATCTGGGGACACAGAAGGGACTCTGGCAAACAGCTGTTCAGGGACCACAGGGACCCCACAGGGACCCCACAGGCAGGGGGCTGGAAACTGTAGCTTTGGGGCCACCGACTCGGGGGAAGAGAGGATGGGGGCGAGGGGGCTCTGGAGGGCTGGCGAGCAGAAGAGGAAGTGGCTTCACTCTGCACGGTCCCCCAGATAGGACGGGCCAGGCACCGGCTTCAGCCTCTCAAGGAATAACTTCCTATCAGTTAGAGCTGCTTGAGGGGGAGCTGACCTGTTTTGGGAGGTGGTGAGTTCCCCGCACCGGAGGCAGGCAAGCAAGGTGCTGTGGATGCTGCGGAAGGGCAGGGCTGGACCAGGTGGTCTCTGAGCCAGCAGCCAGGTTGCCTGATAAAGCCCACCTGGGCCACGGTGGTCTGGAGCAGGGAAGAGCTCCGTGGGCGGCAGGCCTGTGACCTACCTTCTCCCTGCTGCTGTGGGCGGTCAGGGAGCAGTGGGCTGCCCCTCGCAGGGCCGTCCTGTAGTTGCAGAAGTTCCCCGTTGGGTCCACCTGGTGCTGGAAGGAGACAGGGAGGCATTTGGGCAGCCCTGCGCAGGGACGGCCGGTGGCGCCGGGCAGCCCAGCTACCTTGCTTACCTCGAGGATGAAAAACTTGGCCGTCTTCACTTTGGCCCAGGTCTTCCTCAGCCTGGAGACAGGGCTCGTGTTCATGCCGGCTGGAAGAAGGAGGGCTGGGAGGCCCGTGTAGCTGCAGCGGGCCCCTGAGACGGCCGCCGGGCCAGGGCAGGTCTGCAGCGGCCCCGCCCACGGGGGGGTGCCGGTGGGCACTGTGTCGAGGTGGGCCCCGCCTGTGTATGCAGAGCCTGTCCCCATCCTGCGGCCAGTGCCTGCTTTGGGCCCTGTTCTCTGGATCTGGGGACACACTGCCGAGTCCTCTCCAACCACCTGGGAGGCGTGCCTCGAAAGGGGTGCCCCCAGGGCCTCTGAGGTGGGGCCACGGGGCTGACGGCTGCCTGAGGCCTGCGGACAGCCCAGCCCACACCCTCCCGCTGTGAGAGGAGGGACCTGACTCGCACCCACCGCAATCTCTCGGGGTCTTCACGCCGGGGCGCCCGGCCTGGCGGCCCACTCACAGATGATGGCCATCAGAGAGTTGAAGTTGCCGATGTTGAAGCACTCTCGGGCCACGTCGATGAAGAACTCGATCACCTGGGCCCTCTGCTTCTTCTTGGCTGGCTGGGGACAGGGCGCCGGAGCCTCAGCGGTGCTGCGCTCCCACCCGGCCCGGCTGTTTGACTTCTCCAAACCCGTCTCACAGCTGAGAAACTTGAGGCCCAGGGAAATGTCCCAGGGCTCAGGGCCTCCGAGCTCTCCAGGGCCAGAGCCAGCAGATAGCCCACAGCCATGGAGGGCTCCAGCGGGCCCCGTGGGGGTGCAGGAAGCCCCTGCAGCCCGGGAGGTGCTGAGAGGCACCTCAGGAGCAACTTGGGGGCTCCCCGCATCAGAAGGCACCACCTGCCCCTTCTCCCAGCCCCAGGCTTGCTCTCCCCTCCCTGGGGCCACACGCTGACCCTGAGGCCTCTCCTCTAAGCAGCCCCTCCAGCACTTTCTATGGAATAACTGCGTGACTGCGAAGCCCCCTCTGATGCTCAGAACCACGCAGCGTCCTTGCCCGGGGCTGCTGGGCCGAGCTGAGCCCCCGGTGGCTCAGCCCAGGCTTCACTCGGGTAACCCATCTCAGCTGCCGGGCCGGAGACTCGAGGGTAGGAAGTGATGGCCTTCTGCTTCCCTCCCCACTGGGCTCCTGTCAACCCCTGGGCCGCCTTGGGTCGTGCCCGCTGCCAGCTCACGCCCTCCTGGCTTTCCACTCACCATGCAGATCTCAGTTGCCACGAGGTAACACAGTCTGTTAAACCACTGCACGTAAGCCTCCAGGCTGTTAGTCTTGTCACCGAAACATGGCTGGAAAGGCACACAGGACCACGCTCTTGAGTATTTTTGTCAATAACTTCTTAGAACATGAAGTCAGTTCACGATCCTTGCAGACGATCTGGCGTCAAAACCTCAAAACCATCCAGAAATACCAACGAGGTGGTGTGTGTACCCTTCTACTCTTTCTCCTATACACTTAAAGATGCACTTTAAAATTATGTACACACACACAATCCTCATTATTCATGAATTCTGCATTTGTGAATTTCCCTGCTTCCTAAAAGTTACGTGTAACCCCTCCACTTGTGTTGATTTTGCAGTTATTTGTGCACAAAGAATGGCAAAAAAATCTGAGTTACTCAATGTGCGTGGACACCCCCAGCTGAGGTTGAGCCAAGTGACGCTCTCCCTGTTTCAGCTCTCACACCGTGAACAAGTGTTCTTTTTTTCCGGCCTGACAGTGTCATGTTTTTTGTATTTTTGTGCTTTTTTTGATAATTTCTCTGTTTAGAAAGGCCCCTAAGTGTGGTGTTGAAGCGCTGTCTAGTGTTCCTAAGCGCAAAAAAGCTGCGCTGTGCCCTACGGAGCAAGTACGTGTTAGGTAAGCTTCATTCAGGCATGAGTGACAGCACTGTTGGCTGGGAATTCAATGTTAATCAACAATACATTAAACAATGTGGCTTTAAACAGAAACAGACACAAAACAAGGTTATATATTGATCAGCTGAAAAAAATGTGCTAAGAGCATCGCTGGAACCTAACCCTGTATTTCCCCTGGGAGCAATGGTTTGGTATTTGCTAACTTAGTGTTTGTGCCGATGTTACGGAATTGGGAATAACAAGAATCAACTGTACAGCCGGGCGCGGTGGCTCACGCCTGTAATCCTAGCACTCTGGGAGGCTGAGCAGGGAGGATTGCTTGAGCTCAGGAGTTCGAGACCAGCCTGAGCAA